TAGCCGTGTGATCGGCACCTCACCCCCTAACCACGGGACCTCGACGGAACGTGTGATTGGGCGGCTGCGCGTTATTTTGCTCCGGAGCAAACAGCCACGCTCCCCCCCCCTCGCATTTTCCGGCCGGGACCGTTGTAAGTTTACTTCGTTTGAGCTGCAGCACACAAAACCTCAGTCAGGCATCCCTCTTGGAACCAAGCTGAAGGAACCTGTTCTTCCTCAGACTGGCTGCTCCACAAAAAGTATCAGCCACTTGGTAGCAACTAACAGGAACATATTACATTAAAGACTAAAAGTAATGGATTTACTGTAGCATAAGGTTCATGGGCTAGAACCAACCTCACCCTATGCATGAAGTGAATGAAAACGGGGGAGGGGGGAAGAGACCACATTTATTTATTCACTTAATTTATACCCCATCTTCCTTACAAATGAGGACCGAAAGTGGCTTACATTGTTCTCCTGTCCTCCATTTCATCTCACAACAACCCTGTGAGGCAGGTTAGGCTGCGTCACTCGCCCAAGCCTAGCATTTGCAAGGCACAGTGGGGATTTGTACTTGGATCTCCCGTCACCTAGTCTGACACTCTAGAACACTAGAACAAAGTTTGAGTCCAGAGGCACCTTTAAGACCAACAAAGTTTAATTCGGCTCATCCCCTTCAAACAACAGACATCCATGAATCCTAGTATGACTGCTGTCTCCAATGCTGAATTTCCATCCGAGGGCTGAGGAAGCAGGCAAGAGCTCAACCTTGGCTCCTGTGCACCGACATATTGCCGCTGAATTCTCGTCACAACCTTTAGAAGCGGAGCGTTTTGCGTTTCTTGTCACTAAAGGCTGACTTCGGGGCGGATGTTGTAGAGAAAGAACTGGCATTGCCTCGGTACGTACGCCAATTATCTTCCGGCCGCTTCCACGCTCCTCGGGTAGAAGGGTTCCCGGTAGCCTTGAAGCAAAGGAAGAGATTCTGGATCAGGAATAGGGGCGCCAACAGGAAGTGAGCGGCAGCTTCTCCTGCAGCCGTGGGGGTGTGTTTGAGTAGGTCTGAGGAAGGAGAAACCGGCTGGAGGAGTCGCAGCTCAGAGCCCTTGGTGGGGTCTTGCTGTGGTGCCCGGAGATGGAGGAAGGTGAGCCTTTTTGGACGTGTTGTGTTACCTTCTCTGTGCTCCCATCCCTGGGGGTGTGAACACGGCTAGCAGGTTACGGGAATCGGAGGCTGGGAAGGAAGGAGATTCGAGGGGGAGGGGGTGCCGGAGGGTAAGGGGGGATTCATGCGTTGGGCAGCAGCACAAAGAACTCTGTGTGTGAAGTTGGGAACCTGGGAGTCTCCTTGGGACGCTGGCCTTTGCAGTGTAAACGCCCTGCTTCTCCGCAGTTTTTGTTCCAGAGTGGAATCTTCAGTAAAAGAACACCAAAGTTTTCGTCGTGCGTTTTAAAGTCGTCAAGCTGGTTTTCTCTGAGCACATTAATGCAGAGAAGTTCTTTAGCTCGGGGGAGAATGTGAAGTCTGGCTGACAATTGCACACGCAGAACCCTCATGAATAACATTATTTCGTGTAAAAGTTCCACGAAAGGGTTTCATACTCCCCCCTGCGTGCTTCACACTGAATCGAAGTTGGCTTTGCGGCTGGGTATTTCATATTTTTCACCATGTTTCTACCCTTTATTAATTCGCTTGAAAGGTATACCTTGTTGGGATCGTTATGTGGCGCCTCAGAGTGGCTAACAGTCTGCAAACAACGGTGCAAGATAAAAGCAATGTTGGTATAAACTGCATAATAAACAGTGTATCAAGCAGTAGTAAAGTCTTGAGTAGACAGCAGAGCAAGATATATTTTTTAAATCCTATCTGGTACTTTCCAAGGACTGTACAGAGCTTTGTCAGTTCTTTGATCAGCAAAGCCTTCTATCCCAAAACCTGCTTTAACAAAGGGCCTTCTCCAATTCTCCAAGCCAAGTTGGCCTGACTAGCATCTTGCAAAACAAGTTCTGCCATCTTGGTGCTATTACAGGAAAGGCCATGCTCCTTTCTAGGGTCATCCTTCTAGCCTTTGATAAAGGCGGCATCTGGGATTTAAAGCTAAATGTGAAAGCCAACAATTTGAGTTGAATTGTGCTTGGAAACAAAATGGGAGCTGCTGAAGGTCTCATTACACAGACACAGGTTCCTGTGTTCCCATCAACTCTCTCTATTAATAAGTGGGCAACAGTTGATGTTTGTCTTCAGAGATATCTGCATGTAGAGCACATTATAATAATCCAGCATGGAGGTTCCTGAGGCATGTGTCATGATAGCCAAATAATGACAGGCTACAGGTCCGATGTGAAAATTCCTCAAAAGATAAAGAATGTCATACTATATAATGAGTTATATAAAAACTGAAACTTGTAAAATGTAGTGCAGCAACCAGGATTTTATAAAAGATTTACACTAGGTTTAATATTCTGTTTCTGAGGAAAGTTTTCCTTGTCAAAACAGCTAAACGTTTTGTGGGTTCACCTTCCAATGCTTAGATGCAATGTTAGATAATATATTTATTTATTTATACATTCGGCTTATATACCGCCCTGACCCCAAAAGGTCTCTGGGCGGTTCACATATACATTTCAAATGCTACTACCCTATCTAAGGCCACATAGTACAGGGACGGGGCTGCCTACCGGCATCGAGGTTGGCAGGGCTTGCTGTTCTCTTGCTTGGCTCAGCTCCTCCCTTCCAGGCGGTCTTCGGATCGGTGCTTCCATTCTAGTGTCAGGAGTAGGTCTTTCATTTGTTGTGGTGGCTTTCTTTGGGGGGCCCGTCCTTGGAGCGCGGTCCGTATAAATATAAATAAATATACATTGCTTAGATGCAATGTTAGATAAGAAATTGCTGCTTCATTTTTGCTTTGTAGGAAAATATTAGCAAACTGTGGGTTGGTATAGTGGTTAAGAGCGGCAGACTCTAATCTGGAGAACTGAGTTTGATTCCCCTGTCCTCCACATGAAGCCAGCTGGGTGTCTTTGGGTCAGTCACAGCTCTCTCAGAGCTCTCTCAGCCCCACCTACCTCACAAGGTGTCTGTTATGGGGAGAGGAAGGGAAGGTGATTGTAAGCTGCTCTGAGACTCCTTCAGGTAGTGAAGGGCGGGATATAAAAACCAACTCTTCTTTTTGATGGCTCTGGGTGAATGAGATTTTTGTCTTTCATCACAAAAGTGGAGGATTTGGGTTCCTGGGACTTCCAAGTGCTGATAAAACTGTTCCATAAGAAGAGTCATGCTGGATCAGACAAAATCCAGAAAGTCCCACGTTCTCTTTTCACTACTGGCCTGTCAGATAAGAACATAAGAAGAGCCCTGCTGCATCAGGCCAGCGGTCCATCTAGTCCAGCATCCTGCTTCATGCAGTGGTTGGCTCTGGAAACCTCACGGCATGAAGGGCAGCAGCCCACCTTGATTGTCCTCAGTATCTGGTATTTAGAAGTATGCTGCCTTCGGACATTTAGCTTTTACTTTCTTCCCTCTTATTGAGTCTAGGGAAAAGCTAGCAATCAAGAGGCAGAATGAAAAATCTTACACCTGTTTATAAGACTTCTCTTGTTTGATTTTTATGTCACCTAGCTGAAAGCCACCAGGAAGAAACACGTATTTCGTGTTTTAAAATGGCATTAAATGAAACGGAAGCTGCATGCTTGTATTTTTGGTAACAATGGGATGGTCTGCAAAACAAACATGAATGTGGTTTAACTGGCTGTTCTATCTTTGATAAAGAACTTGATTTTTTTTTTAATTTAAGAATTTTTGTCATCTATGGGGAACAATGTGTTGTGAAAAGCTTGATTTGCGCGATCTTTTAAGATGTTGTTTAACATATTCAGAGTAATTCAAATTCAGCCACCAATCAACATTTAAGAAATAATGCTATGGCTACACTATATAAAAACAATTGTATTCATTTATGTTCTGTAGTAGTTTAATAAAAGGATATGGTGCCTTTTCAAATTGTTTTGTGCTTTACTTTGCGTTAGGGCATGTCACCTTGACAAAAGGCCTATTTCCAAGCCTGGTTTTGCTGAAATAACCTAAATGTGGGGAGGAAGGAGTCAGTGAAGGGAGGCAGGGCTGTTCTGCCTTTTTACATTTGTCTTTCTCCCCCAAGTTGTTTTTTCTCTTTGGCAGACTTATTTCTTGTATTAAAGCCTGACTGAAAGGGAAAGCTGTGTTAAAACTGGCCAAGGGGGATAGCTGGATAGAATCAGCAGGTGGACAAGGGTTAAGAACGTGCCCCCCAATCCCCCCTTCCTTGTATTCCTCTCAAGATGGAGTTGGGAGTCCTTTGTTTGCATCTTAACCCAGTATTGTCCTTATTTGTATATATTTTGTGAGTTTTGTTGCTTTAGCTGTTTTCTAGCTTATGGCCATTCCATCATGTAACTTCTGTAGTCTGCTATACCCTTTCAGTCCTCTGTTCACTTTGTGTAAGGGCCTGTGTTTGCAATGCAAAACCCTTGTTGTATATGTGCAGTGCCCTCCAAAGTGCAATAAGAACAAGGCAGGTGCTACAAGCATGGAATTCTGTATCAGAACTGACCAATCTGGGTGCATCCAGGGGTTGCTGGGTCATTGCAGTGGAATCTTAGCAAATGTTGGGTTGGATGCAGTGATTCCCTTCTACAATTTGTCATAGGAGTCTAGTACTGGAAGGAAGTCTTTGGATGTAACCCACTTCAACGATTCTCAGAATTACACTGGTTTCTGCCTTTTAATGGGACTGATGCTCTCCGCAGTCCAGCATGATGTTAATACATAATACACCTGTGTGGCATGCACGTGCAATCAGATGAGTGACGTATTAAATGGGGTTTTATGTGCAATAAATCTTTCTTTCATGATAAATACTAGACATATTTTAAATTAATAATCTATTAACTGTGTGAAATTTTTGAGAAATAACTTCTGAATAAATATCTTTTAAAAAGAGTAAGAGAAATTAAATAACTTTTTGATGTGTTGTAAGGTACTGTAGAGTTGAGACAAAGAAAGAAGCCACATGGTACTGAAACTGAAGAGGGAGCTCCAGAAGAGGGAAATGAAGAAAGCAAAAAGCCAAAAAAATCTCCAAAATGTAAGTTGAGTCCTTTTTTTACTTGGTATTTCTCTTCTTTCCTAGTAAAACAATGGAAATGTGTAAGGGGTGTGTCTAACAAATTAAATTCATAATTCTTCTTTGGGAATATGAAAAAAATCCTTCCTTTTGAAACTGCAACATATTGTGTGTGATTAGTGACTGGGTCCTCTTGGATGTTGGCTTTGCGTCTGCTTTGTGGAAAACTGGACCACTGGCCAAGCACTGCTACAAATGAAATCCACTGAAGTTGAGGCAGTGCTGCAGAATGTTTGTCTTGTGTGTAAAGAAAATGTTCATCTTGTGTGTAAAGTGGCTGAAAAGTTGTTTGATTTCCAGGCTTTCCTCGGCAAAATTCTGAGAATGCTAAAGGAAGTACTTTAATTATGGACCTTACATCTACCAGGGGTCCTTGACTGGGAACCCCAGTAGTCAGATTGTCTTCAAGCTGCCTGAAATTTGTAGTGCAGTAAGCCTACTCCAAGGGGCAGAGGTAGGGTTGCCAAGTGGAACTTACCTTGGTGGCGGGGGACTCCTGGGTGGATCCTGGAGTGCGCGCGTGCCGCACATACATCAGCAGGAGAAGTGACGTTATGGCGCCGGGCACGCAGGGGGGGGGCACGACCACACAAGGGAAAACCATAGAGTTTTCCCTTGTATGGCCAGGGCCCCGCCCCCAGCGTGCCCGCGTCACTTCCGGGTGATGCGCACGTCGGGGAGGAGTTCCCCCCGGGGCCCGATCCGGCGGTCCCGGGAAACGGGCCTCTGGGGCGGGGGTTTCTAGGCAGAGTGCTTGCAAAAACTCTCTCCCCCCCCCATGCCAGGTTGTGGTTAGAATTTCTGACTAGATGGGGAAATCCAGATTCAAATTAACAAGAAGCTTGCGATGTGATGTTTAGTCAATTGTGCTCTCTTGGCCTAACCTACTTCACGGAGTTGTTGAGATGATTTATTTATTTGTGTTATTCATAGCTCACCTTTTCCACTGAGACTCTAGACATGAGACATCTGATAAGCAGTGTAATAGCAATAGAATTAGAGCAATCTGAAATGAAGCAAAAATTGTATTATGTAAGCATAAAAGCAAGGCAGGGAGTATAGGATAGTACGTGGAGCAAACAGGTAATATATGCTGTATACTCTCTTGAACCATTTTTTGTTATAATAAAGCCTTGTTTATTCTTATAAAATGCCCTCCTGAACAGTTCTGTTTTACATAACTTGTGGAATGAGAGCCTTTCTGATCTCTTCGGGCAGGCCATTCTACGAGGTGGGGGAGGGGCATGGCGGAGAATGGAGAACTATGTGCTGTTCGGAGATCCATGGAAGAAGGGCGGGATAGAAATGGGATGAATGAAAAGTAGCCTCTGGGGTGTGTGACCCTTTCTCCTGTTGGTTATTTGCCTGCTGAAAATCAGTGTACTCTGACTAATTTTTCCACAGTGGAGTTCCAGATGTGTACTACACTGGGAAACAAGGGTCTGGAACCCTGAGGGAGGGAAAGATAGTTGGGAAGAGGTAATTTTGATCAGAAACATTTACATTATGCCCTGACCTGGATAGCCCAGGCAAGCCCAATCTCTTCAGATCTCGGAAGCTAAGCAGGGTCGACTCTGGGAAGTACTGGAATGGGAGACCTCTTTGGAATACCAGCAGTCAGGAGGTGGGGGCAGGCTTTATTCAGCCACCTCTCTGAATATCCTCCAGGCCCCCAGTAGGGGACAGTCACCAGAGGTCGCCATGACTTCCAGGTGCACACACACTACACAATGCACATATGAAAAATACAAAAAAAGAAACAAGTAAGAAAAATTAAAAAAAGAAAAATTGACATTATGGGGTAAAGTTCTATTTAATTTACTTAAACATGTATATTCTGCCTTATCTCCCCAGACACAAGGTGGCAGAATTGAGTACCCCTTCCCATCCTTCCTCTGCTCAAAATGGAAGCCTCTTAAGGCATCCTTTTGTGAAAAAAGGAGCTCTGTTGGGCTTCGTTACGCCCCTTTGCAAGTAAAGTGTAGTTTGTGTCTAGTGTGAACTAGGAGACTGCAGAAACCCGAGTCCATTTTATTGAACTGAGAAAGCTCGAGTGAGACTTAAAAGAACACAGAGTATCAGGCAAGGATGTGGGAGGCCCAGGTTTGAACCCCCACTCATGGAAGCTTGCTGGATGATCTTGGACCAGTCACACCCTCTCAGCCTGAACTGCCTCAGAGGGTTGCTGTGAAAATAAAATGGAAGAGAGGAGAGTGGTGGAAGCCTCTCTGGGCCCCCAACAGAAAGGAAGTAAATAAATAAAAGGATAGCTAGGAATTCTGTTTAAGGATAGGGATTTAACTGAGGTGGTTGGAGCTGGGTGAAGATTAAAGGTAAAGGTCCCCTTGCTCGAAAGCCAGTCGAATCCGACTCTAGGGTTGCGGTGCTCATCTCCGTTTCAAAGCCGAAGAGCCAGCGCTGTCCGAAGACGTTTCCGTGGTCATGTGGCCGGCATGACTAAACACCAAGGCACACAGAACGCTGTTACCTTCCCACCGAAGTGGTACCTATTTATCTACTTGCAATTTCTTGCTTTCAAACTGCTAGGTTGGCAGGAGCTGGAACTAGAGACGGGAACTCACTCCGTCATGCGGCACACTCGGGTCTCAAAATGCTGAACTACCGACCTTCCATAGCCTGCAGTTCAGCATCTTAACCACTTGAGCCACCGCAGCTCCTGGGTGAAGATTACTAGTAGTTAAAATACTATGAATTTTAATCTATGGTCTGTAAAGAGATGTGCGTGGGAATATAAATTCTTTTAAGTGTGACTTTTTCAAGGAATGGGCCTTGGTTTGTTTGCGTTCAGAGACAAAGCATTTCATTCTGTTTTTATATTTCAAGATAATGAACAATCCATATAGACTGGAAACAACTGTACATGTCTGTTGACTAAGGTTGGTTTCCATATGCATGCTTAGCCTTTGTTGGGCATGCATCAGAGGCAGTTCCTGTAGGCACATGGCATTTCAGCGGTGCAAAAGCACAGGTGCTCATCTGCCAGGCATCTAGTGGGATACCAGCATGCGTGAATTGGCCTTAATATCATGTTTAAACTCTGGATGCATTGTAAAACGTGTCTAGGCATTAGATTGTTAGGAGCCAGAAGTTATTGGCAGGAGCTAGAGTACGTAGCTTGTGTAAACCTTAATCTAGATCACTGGTGGATTAAGTGTACTAGTATTAAAGGGACCATTGCTTTCATTTTGAAAGGATGATTTATGCTCATAACGAGTTTTCAAAAGGCTTCTCCTGATGTCTGTAACATTCTTTCCCATTCTTTCCCATGCAGATGTTTTAATTCCACGTTTTGCAAAGCTTTTCTTTGGCTGCATTGCAGCCATCGTCAGTGGAATGATGTATGCCATGTACCTTTCAACATACCACGAACGCAGATTTTGGTTCTCCGGCAGGCCGGTAAGGAAGTAGAGGCATTAGGAACAAAATGCACTTTTCTTCAGATCTGATGATCTGATTGTGAGGTTCAGGCTTGTTTATTCCAGTCTCAAGAGCTACTCCATAGGTTTTTCTTAAGAAAACCTCCATGTAGGAAACAGTGAAATCCTATGCAGAGCTGTTTCAGTCTAAGCCCACTGGTTTCAATGGAACTAGACTGGAGTGACTGTCCATAGGGACTGCACTGTAGGTTTCTAGCATAGGCCCGTACAGCCTGTCATGTTGCCCTGCACCGCTTGATAGCAGCCCACCAGGCTCAGTGAACATCCTGATTTTGTGGCCTACCTGGGACTGCAAAAACATAGCACATGGTATACAGCAGTACATGGCTACACCTGATTCAGTGAGTCATAAGTTGCACTGGCCTTTTTGCATCGCCTGCACCCAGATCAGGCAGCCACCACATACAATGCAGCAGTTTCCTCATTGTGGTGCAAAAGCATCTTCTGACAATGATTATCTCTACATAGGATAACTATGCAAGGGAGAGGGAGGTGGGTGCGAAGGTGTAGTTACTACTGTTTTGGTGCCTCGTTTTGTCTTATGGTTGTTGCGGGGCCTCTGCTTCTCCATGTCCATGGTTCAGTGTCATTTACGGTACATTCCTAACCAGAGTTACACCCTTTTAAGCCTATTGACTTCAGTGGACTTGGAAAGGTGTAGCTGTGGTTAGGATTGCACGGTAGAAGTCCTGTTTAAGTTCAGGCTTGTTTGCAGAGGCAGGGGAGATGTTTTAGGTACTTGACCAAACTCTTGCAAAAGCATCTGGAGGAGAAACTATAGATTACCTGGGCAGCAGGTACTTTTGAGTGGTGATGGTGTGGATAGGACTGAAGAGCTAGCTGCACAGTCTAGTGCAGAAATTGGTGGGCAGTCTGAGATGTAGATTGTTCTTGAACTGAACCCAGCATGCACAGTTACAAAGATTTTGTTAGCATTTTCACCTTATTACAGGAGCAGCCTAACTTTTGGCTTGCATTGTTTACTTTTTTTGAAATAGAACTCCCCCCCCGGCCCACTGACACTAAATTTTAAATTTATTTTATTGTATTTATAGTCAGCCTTTGTCACTGAGACTCAAAATAGATAACATAATATGAATCTGCACAATCAGTGGAAGGAGGATTCATCTAATGAACGATGTAGTAGGATGCAGATTGCAGAAATTTGAAACAAGGCAGAAGTATGAAACATGACATTTTAAACAATGCAAGAAATGGTATTAACACACGTATATATCGGTTTGAAAATCATGTATTATCCATTGTAATATCATTAGATAAATTATAATTGTGCAAAACAATATTCAGTTTGAGAATCAGCTGAAATACGCTTGTTTCTAACTAACAAACCATGCTACTTTATGCATTACTCTACCACTAAATTTAGATATCTGGTTAAAGGTCGCCAAAATGTAATACAGTGAGAACAAGATAAAAATGTACAGCAATAGTTAATATTAGTAGTAGATGGCACAGTCTTGTTCCCTGTGCTGAAACATCTCCCTGAAGCGTATTGTTGTAATTCATCCCTATTCCTTTATTAAGAAACACCCTCCTGAGCAGTTCTGTTCTATATCGTTTACAGAAAGTCAGGCATGGGAACCTTCTCCTCAGGCACGCCATTCCGTAGGGTGGGGGACACTACTGAGAAGGCAGCTTGTTGGTCTTGGCTTTTTGCAGGGTATCTCTGGAAGGCCCTGTTCAGATGAGCAAAGTTGTCATGGCGGAGCATACAGGGAGAGGCAGTTTTATGGTTATGAGGGTCCAAGGCTACGAAGAGCTCTGTAAATTGCCCAGGGATCTCTGCTTTATGGAAGGACCCAATTTCAATTCCTGGCACCTTCAAAGGAACCTGAGGAACTGTTCCCGAGAAACCGCAACCAACCGGAAGAGACTGAAGTCCATTTTGCCCATGCTAGAAATGTTGTCTCTCTAAAAAACTGTAGTTTCTCCTTTAAAAAAAAAAACTGAATTAAAGAAAAAGGTGAACATAACTTTTTTTGGTGCTTTTTTTTTTGTAGGAGCTTGAGCGAGAAATCACCTTTCAGGGTGATAGCGCTGTTTATTACTCATTTTATAAAGAATTGTTGAAGGCACCTTCCTTCGAGAGAGGTAAGACAAACGCACCTTGCTACATGCTGAGAGCCAGGTTCACAGTAGTGAGACTTAAACACCAGTCATTGAAGTTCCGGTGGTGTTTTTTCCTCTATTTCTGCCTGCTGTCATAAAGACTGAAGTTCAGCAGATGACAAAGTGCAGGTAAGGGCCTAGATTTTACAGACAAGCATAGGAGAGGAAGGACCGTAGCTCAGTGGCAGAGTGAATGCTTCTCATGCAGGAGATCCCAGGTTCTGTCCTTGGTATCTACAGTTAAAGGGTCTTGGTTGGCAGGCATTGGGAAAGGTATTTCTCTGCCTGACCCCCACTGCCAGTCTGAGGTCCTGTCCATATGAGGCCTTTTGGGCCGGGAGCGGGACGGAACGGAGGCAGAGCAAACGGGCATGATACCACAGCAACATCTGGGAATCGTTGCCTGCCCGTCCCTGTTCCGTCCCAAACGCCGATACCGCGCAGCAAAAAAGCACCACCTTCCTAGGTGGTTGTATCCCTTGGAGCGGCTCAAGGCGGGCCGTGGGATCCACCGGCGCGTCCTTGCGGCGCCGCATCTTGGCCCCCAGCCGTACTGCGCATGCTCGAGCATGCGCAGTTCAGCAGCCTTCCCCTCCCATCGGACTCTTGCTCCCCGGCATCTGATCATGCCGGGGAGCGATGCGCCGCGGCTGCCGCAGCGTCTCAAGTTCGGTGCGGCTCTGATTAGCCATGTTTCAGCTGTCCCGTGTGGCAGCAGCCAGAGTAGGTTTTACTGAGCTAGCTGGGCTAATAGTTCGACGTGGGTTTAATGGTATAAAGCAGCTTTATTTCTTCACAGCAAAGTTGGAGCGGCTCAAGGCAGGCCGTGGGATCCACCATATACTATGCTAACAGAAGCTGCAGGCTTCATTCCATATGTGGAAGTCAGGACCGGCATCAGCATGCCCTGAAGTGGGACATCCGCCCAGGGCTTCTGGTGGGGCCTGCTGCCAACTGCTTCCACCCATATGCTTCTGCCACCAGTCTGCACACCCTCCCCTTGCCCACCTGCACGCAAACACTCTACCTCCCGTGCTTCTAGCTGCTTGGACTGCCCAGCACTGCCTGGGAAGAGTGTGTGGATGGTGACAGTCGCAGCAGAGGGATTCCCAGCTGCACACACCTGCCAGTGACATTGAGGGAAGAGCATGCTGGTGGGGGTGGGGGGGGCAGGAAGGAAGGAGTGAGCAGGGGCCCTGGTGGTGAGCACAGGAGGGGAGTGGGGGGGGGCTCTGAGCACTGTCTGCCGAGGGCCCATGCTCATTAACCCAGGGAGGGGAGTGGGGGGGGGCTCTGAGCACTGTCTGCCGAGGGCCCATGCTCATTAAGAACTGGAACCAGCCCTGGCGGGAGGCCTTGTAATACCTCTTCCTTGTACTGTTTTGCACCACTAACGTTTGAACAACCACCACATTTTGTTCAGATCCTAGATTTTCTGTCAAATTCATCTTGAAGATTCAAGGCAAGGCCTAGAAGAAAGTACCTTTTATTTAATTTAATCTCAGAGTTAGGACCACCAGGGTCATCTAGTTCATCCCGTTGCTAACAACTATAATATTCCCAACAAGTAGGTATCCAGTCAACACTTAAAAACCTCCAACAATATAGAATCCACAACCTCACTAGGAAGACCGTTCACTGTTGGACGCACCTCACCCTCTCTCTCAAATTTAGATAACACCTCCTTTACTGTAGTTTATATCTGTTAGTCCAACTCAGTCTCATTCAACATGACTGAAAACATATCTGCCCCATCCTCCACATGGCGTCCCTTTAGGTATCGGAGGGTGGCAGTCATATCACTTCACACATTTCTCTCCTCCAGCACAGAGGTTCCCAGCTCCTTCAGTCTCTCCTCTTAAGACTTGGTCTCTAAACCAGTGTTCCCTCTAAGCTGAGTTAGTGTGAGCTAGCTCACACTTTTTTACCCTCCAGCTCACACATTTTTGTCTTAGCTCAGGAAGGATGGCTCCGGAGCAAACTAATTTATGCAGTAGCGAAATCGCTCACTCACAACTTTAATGCCAGTAGCTCACAAAGTAGAATTTTTGCTCACAAGACTCCACGGCTTAGAGGGAGCATTGCTCCAAACCCCTCATCAGCTTTGTTGCCCTGTACTGGACTTCTTCCAGCGTATTGACATCCTTCCGAAATCTTGAAGTTCTAGTTCTTCAAACAAGGAGATGTGAATCAGCCTAATGTGACCTTCCATGTTCTTTGTGAATTACAACAGCATCTAGCAGTTTCTTATAGAGCGCGTTATTGTTGACATTTTAAACTATGTCTGAAAATTCCAGTCCATGGAAAGGTGTCGTATAGTCATGAAATTGGCCTGCAGATTGCAGTAGTTCTTGACCACTAAAAGTTTCTTAAATGATGCCGTTCTTTTCCTTATCCTCAGGTGTGTATGAACTTACCCGGGATAACAGAACTCTGTCAATGAAGACCATGAATGCAGTGCAAAAAATGACTTTATATCCTGAGTTGATTGCCAGTGTGTTATATCAAGCATCTGGCAGTGAAGTAGGTACCCTCTCTCTCACACAGCCTAAAGCAAGAGGCTTCTTTTATTTCAGAGTATTATCCCTATATATGGAGATGCAGCTAATATGGGCCCAGAAAATGATGGTTCGCTATACACTCGGGGTTGTGTGAACCTACTTTTTGTCTAAACAGGGAGACAAGGACAAAGAGGTAAGACTAACAGTGCCATCGTAAGCAGAATGGCATCCTTCTGTTGAAGTCAGATGACTTAGAAGGGCATAAATCTGCTTTAGATGGCACTGTTAATACATTGGAATGCTGCATAGACCAAGATAAGATGGTATGAGTATTACGTTCTTCTGGAGCAGCAACCAAATTACTTAATTTTTTTAAATACTAATTTACTGAATTTATTGTTTACATTTATACTCAGCTTTTCTGTTATTTATCTGTTACGCCATATGAATGTCCTTCTGATTTAACATGGGTGGTGTAAATTTTTTGACTACAACAGATTCAGTTGAGGCACCGGATGTCCAAATCTGTCTTGCCCTCCCTCTGCTGATAGTCTTTTAAATCTAGCACGTTACACAGCTGCGCCACTCTGAAACGTCTTCATCCGAGCTCACTCGCAGAATGGCATCCTTCTGTTGAAGTCAGACGGCTTAGAAGGGTATAAGTCTGCTTTAGATGGCACTGTTAATAAATTAGAATGCTGCATAGACCAAGATAAGCTGGTATGAGTATTTTGTTCTTCTGGAGCAGCAATTTACTGAATTTATTGTTTACATTTATACTCAGCTTTTCTGTTATTTATCTGTTATGCCATATGAATGTCCTTCTGATTTAACATGGGTGGTGTAAATTTTTTGACTACAACAGATTCAGTTGAGGCACCGGATGTCCAAATCTGTCTTGCCCTCCCTCTGCTGATAGCACTCAGTCTTTTAAATCTAGCACGTTACACAGCTGCGCCACTCTGAAACGTCTTCATCCGAGCTCACTCTGATTTGTTCCATGGTTGATTTTAATGTTAATTTTATTGTTAAATTTTAGTCATTGCTATTTTAGTCTCAATCTGTATGTGATTTTGTAACCCGCACTGAGCCCACTTGCAGGGAGGGTGGGATTGAAGTTGAATAAATAAATAATAAAAGTTCTCTTTTTCTCAGAATGGATAGCCTGCTGATATAGTGCCTCTCTTTATATTCTGCCCTGGTGTCCCCAACTTTTTTGAGCTTGTGGGCACCTTTGGAATTCTGACAAATTTCGGTGGGCACAGCTACAAAATGGCTGCCATAGATGTTAGAGACAGCCACAAAATGGCTGCTCTAGCTTAACTGCAGTCATTCTGTGACGATCCTTGTGTTGTGACAGCTGCTGCCAAAGCAATGCTTTTAAACATCTGCACAGCCAGTCAAGTCCCCAATGGCCAATAGCCCCACATGGCCCCATCAACTTTCTGAAAACATTAGCACCATGTTCGCGACCCCTGTTCTACCCTTTCGGTTCTGTTGTGCTTCTCTTTCTGTTCCAAGTTGTGGTACCTCTTTGTGACTTGTTTTCCATTTTTTTAAAAAGACTCTTTCATTTTCAGGAAGTTATAGAGCCAGTGTATTTTTACATTGGCATAGTGTTTGGGCTGCAGGGGATTTATGTGACTGCATTGTTCGTAACCAGCTGGCTGATGAGCGGAACTTGGCTAGCAGGGATGCTGACAGTCGCCTGGTTCATTATTAACAGGTAAAGCAGACTTTAAATTTGAAATTATTTGTCACTTCTCTTCTGTTTTACTGCCTTGAACTGAATAAATTCCTAAGGTGTTAATAGAGAAATTTTATGAAAGTTTCTAACTGATACATTTAACTTCTGTGGAGATGCATACACTGCAGTTGGGAATGTTAGAAGATTAAAGTGGTTCCAATGAAAGGGATTTTTGCCTGTTGCTTCACCAGTCATGTTTATGCTGTTATGGTTCTTAATGGTTGGGAAGTGTTTTGAATTCTTTTTAAGGAGAAACTTGCTTTTTCATTGCAAGCAATGATAGGAAGGAATAAATGGAATTTAAATGGAATTTGCTTCTCAACCATATGAAGCACCTTGGGTTAGATAGCAAGGCTACGTGTGATCAGTTCCCAAAAGGTCCTTATTTTTAAGAGTCAAGAACTAATGTGTAGCATCTGTTAAGAGCAATAGTTTAATCCAGTTTCTTAATATTATTCTTCCAGGAATAACTCAGTAAATGTGTCTGTTACTTTTTGTTTGTGTCTCCTTTTCAGGGCAGATACAACCAGAATAGACTACTCAATTCCATCAAGGGAAAATTGGGCTCTCCCATATTTTGCATGTCAGGTTGCAGCTTTTACAGGCTACTTAAAGAGCAGTACAAATTCTTCTGCTGAGGTAAACTATAAATGTTGAAAGGAGATGTATTAGTATAAATATTTTATGCTGCTCACTGGTGGATGGCTGTGAGCTAGTGCCATTGTGTTACACCTGTTTTGAGACATTTGCAGGGGCTCGCAGTCTGTTTCCAAGCCCAAGCTGAGTTTCTGGTTTGGACCTTTAAAGCCCTCATCTTGGGGAGTCATCTGCCATATAAATACTTGCCAGTCTTGGTCTCCTAGAAATCAGGCTAGGCTGGCCTCCAAGAAATCAGGCCTGTTCTCTTGCTGTCTTAAGAGTTTTCACTTTCCTTGCCTTTCTGCAGGAGTTAGTGTGGTTCTTCCCTAGTGTCTTTCTAGAGATAAGCTGATTTCTGCTCTTAGTGGGGCTTTGTCCTCCTGCTATATGTTCCTCAGATTTTAAATATGAACACTTCCCTGAGCCCCTTGGAGGGAAGGCAGAGATAGAAAAAATGGGATAGACAGCCATTTTTAAGAGCTGTATATTGATAAAATGCATCAGACATGCACATTCTCTGGCCCTGAAACTCTCTTGTGGAGTCTGTGGACTCTTGTTAGAATCGTGGCCATCCCAGTAATGTGACATTTTGTTTGTGTGTGTGTGTGTGTGTGTGTGTGAAGGAAACTTCTAGACCTCATATTTCCAAGGGTAGATTAGTAAAATGTTGTGGCAAGTGTTTCTAATGTAACCCTCAGACCTGGACCCCAACCTAAGACAGTTTTTCTAGGCTTGTGGCAAGGGAGGGGCTGAATTGGGACTCGCTTTGTGTCTAGGATGCCTGTTTTGGTTTTTAACTCTCCCTGTTTGGTTCCTTTTTCTTCCGCAGAGGTTTTCCTACCTGTTGGTGAGCGCTTCAACATACACTTTTATGTTGATGTGGGAATACAGTCACTATCTGTTGTTTGTCCAGGCTGTGTGTCTCTTCCTGCTAGACACTATAGCGCTTGCACAGACTGAAAAGGTATTTTGATTTTAAAAAACCCTTATAAACTAAATATGTACTTGTTGTGTATGGTGCTTTTCTCCTGCCCTCCTTCTAAAGCAGGGGTCTCCATAGTACCCGCTGACACCTTTCCTGGTGCCTGCCAAGTGTTTTCAGAAAGCAGGTGAGCCCATTGGAGATTTTATTGGCTGTGCAGATTTTTCAAAATGTTGCTTTGATGGCATCTTCCACCAGGCCCATAGCCAGTATCAGGGGGCCTTTAAATAAGTCAGGGGGCCTTTAAATAACAGATGGGAACCAGGTTGCCCCCATCTCCTCCATTGTTCTCTATGGTGGGAAAAAAGTTACTTTTTTCCCACCATAGAGAACAATGGAGGGGATGGGGCAACCTGTTTGGGGGCTTGTAGAATCGGACCTCCTGGTCCAATGTTCTTGGAACTT